GTACCACTGCCTGGGCTCTGCAGCATTTGACTGTGACTCATTACATGAGGTCACGTGTGGCGTTTTCCACTTGTGGCATCATGTCAGTACTAAAAAGTTTTAAAGTTTAGAGCATTTTAGATTCTGGGTTTTTAGATTAAGGATGCTCAACTTATATTTGAATATGTGTATTGTGTGTAATGTACACACACACACACACACACACACACACACACACCACGCTTAAGAGTTTATATTGCAGGCCAGCAGGTAGCACGGAGGTTAAGGTAGCTGAATCTAACATGGCCAACTGTGCAGTTCAAGTCCCTGACCTGGGGCCTTGAAAAACATGCTGGACATGCTGGGCATGCCTAAAATTCCAAGAGAATAATGAAGGATACAGGATTGTGGCATGGCCACTCCCCTTGGGAGTTGATTTCTCGCTTTCCCTCTCTTTTGCTCGCTCTCTCTGTTTCTGTCTAGCAAGCATATATGCCCTCCAGCAAACTAAGTAAGTAAATAAATAAAAGTTGTATTGTGGGTCATTATGAGTAGAGCCTCATACTACTTGAAGCAGAATTCATGTCTATTAATTTCTGGGAAAGGACATAAGTTATCCTTTGGATTTAATTGATGGCTTCTTGGTCTTTTGGCCTGAGCTTTATTTGCTCTCTTTGTGTTTCTTTGGCTATAGATCAAGCAGGGTGCAGCTTGACATTAGGTAAGAAAGAGATTGCCAGCATATCTGAGCTTGCAACCTTGAGTCCATTTTCTGTTGGTTATTTAACTTCCATGGATCTCAGTGCCACTCAAATGAGGGGACAAATTCAGAGAGAGGTTGAGTGGAAAACTCATGGCACAACATCTTAAAAATAGTAGATGCTCAATGTACCGTGGTTGTTACTACAGTGGTGAAGTTTGGCTTACTGTTTTAGAGTGCCGCTCTCCCATGTCTCTGAGACTTTCTGCAGGTGAGCAGGAGAAAGAGAACACTGCTTTGTAATTGAGCGTTTGTCTTGTAACCTGGTTCTGTTGTTAGGGGAAGCTTTGGCTTGGCACCACTGTGCATTCTTGTGAGGAGAGCTTCATTCATCCATGAGGGAGTTGAAAAAAAAACTGTGAC